TGTCTTTTTGTTTTTTTCTAATGTAAAATCGATTGAATCGATAAAAATAAATTTCGGGAAAATGAATTAGTAAAGTATAAGTGTAAATTAGAGAAAATAATTCAGACCACGCAACAAACAACGGTCTCCTTTCCTTCGTCGGATACTCAGCGTAATCATTCGTTCGATTACTCAGCGTCTGGCATTGAATACCTCCGAACGTTCCTTCGTATCACGTAATACCGTTTGAATCGTTGTAAAAGAACAGTCCTCGGTAAAAGAACATTTCAGATGAGTGTCCGACGAGTCAAGAGAAATAGAAGAACTGGTCTCGATCGTTTTCAATAGAATTCCATTTGGATTCTTATTTAGTGATGTACATTCTCTCTCAATAGTATATATAGGTACGCGTCTTGAACTTTAAAGAGTTAAAAGTATCTAGGATCTATGATATCGATCATAAATTCTTTCCAATTGATTCTTTATCGAAGAATTTGAAAGTCTACTTAAAATAAAATATAAATCAATCCCTCTCTCTCTCTTCTTTGTTTTTATTAACTGTACATTTAATGTATAAGAGTATGTGTACATGTGTTTATGATAAAAACAAAAATAAAACAGATCATATATATATTTTTTATTAATCATAATATAAATAAAATATAAATTGTTATTATTATTTGTAACAAATATTACATAGATGTAATTTAATTTTCGAATGAAGTTCGAACATATAGTTACATTATAGTCTAACAACAACCTATGTATATGAATAATAGAAAAGAGAGAGAGAGAGAGAGAGAAAGAAAGAGAAAGAGAAAGAAAAGGATCGCGTGAGACCCCCCACACTTGTGCCGTTCACGAGCGACGGCGCGTGTCAACCTTGCCTTGTCCTTGAAACCACGCGACCGCGACCGTATGCCAACTCGAAGTAGTATAGCTTGCTACTACTAAACGCGCTTTCTCAAGACATCCATCCAAATGAACGTCTAACATTTTTCCTCTCATTTCAATCATTTCCTTTCAAATATTTCATTAATCAACAAATTTATTCGAATTATTTTTTCATCCTAATATTATTCGATTAAATATACAAACTAATTAAGTATTAATCGTTTTACGATTATATCGAATTAATCGTACGCATATAATATTTAATGATCTATTTATTTAAGTATCATTAACATTGTCTCGTTATTATCTAAATGACATATTTTAATGAGGAGTTCTTTTTTTTTCTTTTTTTTTTAAACGAACGTAAAACGGTGGAAACGCACGTGTCGGTAATACTTGTCTGACACCTTTTTTTTTTCTTTTTTTTTTTTTTACAAATTTTGCTATCGTGTTTGATTAGCCGCATTATATCGTACGCGCTTAAAAATAAATACACGCGGACACACTTTATTCGCGGATCGTGAAACTTTCCGTTTCTGTCTATCGGTAATTGACCTTTGCGTTTGCCCGATTATAGCAATGATAATTTCATGCCGCGTGATGCGTCTCTGGTTGGTCGTTTAGCGGACTATATCAATGTACACGGTCAACATACGTTGTGTCCATTACTCTCCAAGCAAACAGGTGGAAATTATCCGATACTGTAATAGCGTTTCCATACTATCTTCTTCCACGACAAACGCAGCACACACACACACATATATATATACATGCATACATAGCTTAGTACGTGTTTAAATAAATATGTCGATTCTTTTTATTCTTCCTCATGTTTCTTTTTTTACATAAATAATTTATTCAAAAATTCGTGGAAAAGTTAGATCCCCGTTTATCCGCTACTTTGACATTTCGAAATTGAAATAACAAACAAATCATATTCGATTTAAAAAAAACATACGCATAATTTGACTTATTCGCAAATGTAAAAAGAAAAAAAAGGAAAACTTATCAAATATATAAATATGTAATCTCGAAACTAACAGTATACACCTTTTTAATTATTCTCAATTTATTATTAAATTTTTACTCGAACAGATCGTAGATTTAATCGATCACTTTAATTAGACAAATGTGTGATATATCGGTAAAAAAGTTGAAAAAAAAAAAGAAATAAAAAAGAAATTGATCGTACGATAAAGAAAGGTATATCTTCGCGTAACAGTTTACTATCGTAATTAATAATCTTCGAGTTCGTTTACTCGAAACTTAAATAGTCATAGAGAAGTAAAAGGCCTTCACTATCGAGAACGAACGAACGAACGAACGTACAAACAAATGTTAGAATGAAAGATCGAATAAATGAATAAACGAGTTAACGTAATTGCGATTGGATCCGTGTGCTATGCAAAGAACCAATGACTACGCATTCGACATACATTAAGGAAATAGTTGAACGCAATAAGTAAAGTATACGTGAGAGGGTAAAACACGCACACACATAGAAAAAGAAAAAGGAAAAAGAAAAAGAGAAAATGAGATAAAGAGAGAAGTAAAAGTTGGTCTTGTCAGACATCGCTATCTCCTTCCTACCATCTTTTTTTTTTTTTTATTCTCTCATTCCGTCGCGAGACCTGTTTGTCGGAGACTTTACGTAATGCACGATAACCAACGCGAGTGGTCAGATAAACATGATTCTAAGTTTTCTCGTTGCTTACTTGCGAGAATGGGACGCGCATGGTTTGCCGCCGACTAACGCGTGATCTACTCGTTATTTTTTTTTTTTTTTATTTGCCTCGATATAATATACCTTTCTCTGTCTATACCCTTTCTGAGGGACGACACATCGCTACTTACTCGAGATAACATCAAATATTAGGTTCATCGTACTTTACTTTACTTTACTTTACTTTCTTTCGTTTCCTTTGACTCACCCAATAGTCAAGTGGTATTAAAAAATGATAACACCTACTATATATATATATTATATTACGTTTTATATAAAAATCATTTATTTTTTTATTATATTAAATAATAATTTGTTAATATTTTTCTAATACAAAGAATTGTATTAGAATTGCGTATTGATATAAAACACACCTACTATATTTATATGTTGTGTTACGTTTTATATAAAAATCATTTATTTTTTAAGTATATTAAATAATAATTTGTTAATATTTATAATACAAAGAATTGTATTACAATTACGTATTAATATGGAATACATTTATCCTGGCATTAAATAAACGTAAAAAGTCCGGATATTGTATTTGTAAACTTAAAATATACAAATTTCCAAGTGATGAGATAACGTATCACAATAATAGATTTTAAACGAAAACCCCCCACCATTACCGATTTGAAACCTTTGAGATAAGACTCATAATACATTGATTTTTGTTTTCCCTATTCCATGCAATTATTTTTCTTATTTGTATTCCAACCGACAGGAAGAAATTTCTCGTAACTATCAGAACTCGCATATTTCATCCTTGACCCTCGTTTGGCTCGGTAAACGTGGGAGGAGGAGTAGCCAGCCAGCCAGCCAGCCAGTTAGACTACGACGATCATTTTCTGACGACGATAAATGATGAGAAGTTCGTCAAAGAAACGGAAGGTGCTATGCAATTTGTCATTCGTATGTTTTATCCACGGTAGCCTTGTATTCTTCTTATTTTTCTTCTTACGTTCTCTTTCGTTCAGATCGCGAATCGTTAAAAGATCGAAAAGAAATAGAATCGCGATGAGCTCCGCTATTATTATTACTCTCTTACAGTAGTAGTAGTAGTAGTAGTAGTAAAAAAAAAAAAAAGGATAAAAAGAAAGACAGATTGACAAAGACGGAGATTGAGGAGAACGTTATGGTAATGAGGAGAGACTCGTTGATTTTTGCTCGTACCACGTTGGAACAGCTCGGTTATGGACTTTACCACTTTGAGATTCGCTATTCGCCATCTGCTCAAAATCATTATCATAAGCATTTACGTTCAGTTTCTTAGCGAGTACGTGACTCCAATGCTTTGTTTTTATCTTTTTTCTTCTTCTTCTTTCCTGTTTTTTTTTTATTTGTTTATTTCTTGTCTTTTCTTCTTCATTATTATTTTTTTTTTTTTAAATATCTATCACGGCAACACGTCTTAAAGAAAATAATTAAAATGGTCATTAATTTTCTATACGTATGATATATTGGAAAATATGTCGAGAAGAAATCGATCAGCTATTACTAATATTTTCTTAAAAGCTTCCTGTGGAAAATCTTATCTGTGAGTCGATAGACGCGCTGACGTTTTGTTGGAAAACTACTATTAATCGTAAGAGGATGATGGTTAAGTTAAGTTAAGGCTTAACGCGCAATAATTACTAGACCTGATCGCGGACTTAGAAATCTGTTCTAAAAAGATACGATCGAGAATGTCAGAGATAATAATCGGTTAGACATTAGCATTATCTTTTAATCCTAACGTTACGCGAAGTTTAATAATCTCGAGATTGGAGATCTTAAAATTATTTTATTTTTTAAGTTTATCTACTATTTTCACTGTAAAAATTTTGTTATCATAAGAGCTAAGGAATTGGAGACCCTTTTTCTAAAGATTGACCATCCCAAAAAGGGCCCAACAGTGTTCGAAAAAAGTCCACCAGAAGGCAGCATGTTCTGACTATAGTTGTAGCCCTTCGACTAGTAGGACAAGTGATGGTAGTGGTGGTGGTAGGGCGGGGCAAAGAGATTTTGGGACTCTTGTTGAAACCCAATAACAGGATCTCGCAGGAATATCAAAAATTGCCGTAAGGTGGCAGCAGTGCTCTGGTAGACAAAATTTCTTCGATCTCGTTCAGTCGGATTTTGACGTGCAGCGAGTAGGATGTCAAACTTTTTTTTTCCAACAATGTTTCTCAGATATTTTTATCTATTTGCCGACTATCATTTTTTTTTTATGAATCATCTATACATGATCGATGTTTTATTCAATCGAATGAGAGATACAAATATTTTTGATAAATTAAATCAAAATTGTATTATTTACTTAAGAATAATAATAATAATGGGAAAAGAAGGAAATCGTCGTAAGGAATTATAAGGGGGTAGATTGATTAAAGGTCAATTTGTAAAAGACAATTGTAGACACTTTTGTTTCTTTTTTTTTTGTTTCGTAAGAGATCCACATTTATTTGATACTCTTACAATAATAAGCGTTAAGCTTTCATCTCTATTTCGACAAATAGAATATGTAATTATAATTTTGTAACATCTTTGAACTTAAATACGAATATAAATAGGATCGTAGTAGCCATGCACACGCAATCAATCAATCAACAAAATCATTGACCAGTCTCTTTCATGCTTCACAATTTGTATTAGATTAATTATTTTTATTTTTCTACAATCGTTTCTAGTTTTCTTCGCATAATTATTTAATCTATGGAATTCGTCGTGGGTTGTCTATTGGCACCGTATTTATTCGTCGACGGTTACAATTAACATTGCTAAGATTTATGTATAATTTAATACAGAGAGATAGATAGATAGAGAGTGAAAGAGAGAGAAACAAAAAGGAGAGAAGGAGAAAGAAAAGAGACGTATTTTCAACGTAATCAAATAGAATGGAAGACTTCGATGATCTTGTTGCGTAAGGCACCTTAAAATTACGATATTTCCTAAATTCTAACGAAACTACTATTTACACGCAAAAATATAAAGAACAAAAACAAAACACAACGAAAAGAAAAAAAAAGAACTTAAGAATTGTCTATCAAAAAAAAAAAGATCGATCACAAGAGTAAAAAAAAAAATTATGTACACCTCTTCTTTCTTTTTCCTGTTATTTTCTTTTTCCTTTTTTTTTTTTGAAAATCGTCATATTATTTTATTTTCTCCCAATAGACGACGACGAATCATCGTCATAATTCGACAGAATTCGGTTTGACGCACGAACACCGTGGTTACGTGTATAAATCATTTGTAAGGCACTTAGATAAGGCACCACCTTGTTGTTTGTTCTCGTTAATATTATCACACGCACTCGCGCTAAAAATTCATCGATATTTCTTCATTGAATAATATTTACACGTACGATTGAGATCTATCATAATTCTCCGCGCGTACGAGGAAAAAAAAAAAGAAAATATAAAATAAAGAATTAAGATATAACATATACATATATATACATATATTATAAGTGTGTGCGTGCGCAAGCGCAAGCGCAAGGAACATGTCAATTCATCGAGAAAGTCAAATCATTTGATAGTTAGCACAAAATTCACAAATTTTTATCTCATCGTCACTTTACCACGGCCTCCATGGTTTGCTTTCGAGCTCGGGCATGACGCTTTTTCTCATCACCAGGGCAAGCGGTTTCTGAAGTGGCGGACTGTAAACACGAGGATCGAACTCGGGATCGCTGGTGTATCCGTTTGCGGGAGAGGTAGCTACGTCTCGGTGACTATTGCTGCTGCTGGTTACGTAGACCGACGTAGTTTGTTGTTCGCGAAAAGCTGGTGGCGGTGGTTCGAAACCAACTGGGCTAGCTGCCGAAGTTGAATTCGAGCCGGTTGAGGAAGAGGATGAGGACGAGGCAGATGCCGTACTCGCTGTTCTTTGCGGGATTGGTATTAGAGTGGGTAACGGCGAACTAGGTGCTGGGGAAGCTGACGGGGATATCACTGGTGTTGCTTTACCACCGGTTGGTACCAGCAACGCGATTTCACCGTTCGATAGCCTCGTTTGTAACAATTGCAATCCCGTGCCGTTGCCGTTCGTAAGAAAAAATCCATTAGATTGTTGCACCTGAATTCTCTGTGTCGCATCTACTTGCGGTAGAATATGCACTTGCAATTGAGTAGTCGGTTGGGCGGGTTGAACAGGCTGTTGTTGATTAGCCGTCGTCGTAATATTCGCCGTCGTTGTCGTAGTCGTCGTCGTTGTTTGACCACCACTATTATTTACTTCAACCATTCCTAAGCAAGTTGCCAAATGATTCATCAAACGTTTCTTTATCCCAGGATCCAATCCGGGATACCTGTTAACTTCACCGGCGCACTCCGTATAACCCGCCCGGAATTTGTTTAAAACGTTCGGATCCGTCGCCGCGGCTAAGGCTACTTGTTGACGATGCATTGCTTCCATATGTTTAACAGTCATCTCGAGGATGTCTGCTTTCTCTAGTTTTGAATGTCTTGCTGGCTATAACAATACAAAAAGAACAAAAATACGGTCAACCGACGGTTCGTTCAATTCCAATCGAATAATATTTTCTTTTCTTTTAGCAAGGAATAAATAATCAAATTCATTTCGATAATACTATAACGAATATTAATCATTAAAACGAATCATATTTAATATGTAATGTAGAGATACTCACGTCTTTTTTCATGGCATCGAGAATAAGGGTCTTCAGTTCATTTAAGCAACTATTGATGCGGGCTCGGCGCCTTTTCTCCATAATCGGTTTATTGCTCTGTAACAGAAAGAAAATAGCAGGTCAGAAAACAGGACGTTCGGGTTTTCTTATAGATTTCGGGCTTTAGGATAGATGAGATTTGGATATGTAGATTATATTTCCTTTTATTTTTTTTTCTAAATTTTCCGAATATTTCACGAGAAAAAAATGTTTCCACGGGCGAGAAAATATAATTTTTTTTTTAAATTACATCAAAACCGAAACGAAAAGATCGTCGTCATCGAATTCACCATTCAAATAAATTTTGTCTTATACACGGTGTAGTTAATTTTGATCTAATTGTAAGAAGATAGACAAAAGAGAAAAAATGAACACTAACCCGTCGATTTTCACCGGATCTTCTGGTAGTTGTCGTAGTTGTGGCAGTTTGCGCGGGTGGTTGTCCGGCTTCCTGAGGTACGTGTTGCGTGGGTGGCGTGGCGCCCACGGTGACGCCGCCGGTCGGCATCGTAGCACCCACTCCGGTCACCATCTCGACTTATCACTGAATTTCAATATAAGAATAACGAAGAAAAAAACCAAACGAAAATAATAGTTTGTTTTGTTTTTAATTATCGACGAGAAGGAACAAGCAACACACTGGCAGGCACTGTTTAATCCAAATGAATACGAAAGGTAAAGATGAGTAGTCTCTTCTTGCACTGTTAAACACAAATTTTTGTTGAATAATTAATTAAAGTCCGTAGCAGAATGAAATTTCGTTTCGCTTGCGTAATAACGAGGAGTCCTTTTTCTCTTCGAAGAAATCGAACGCAAAATCGAAACAACGACAACACAACAAGAAAAAAAACAAAGAAAATATAAGTTTCTTTATCTTTTTCTTAGGCACGGTGCAGAAAACTGTTAGAAAACTTGTTTTATTTCTCGTGACACAGTGATGTAGAATAGTACTAGTAGTAATAGTAGTAATCGTAGTAGTCGTAATAGTATTATACAGCAGTAGAAATAATCTCTAACTGCTCGGAGCGATTGTCAGAGCTCGACTGACTATCACTCGAGGAAGAACGAGAGTTTTCTGTCGTGTTCAGAGTGAAGCGTGCCGGGCCGACGGAACGCTCGTTCCTCTACAATAAAAGGAGTGGGGATAGAACCTAAAGAAGTGGGGATTGCGCGTGACGGTTTAACCTGGACCCTTTCCTCCCCACCACTACGTCCTTAGGTTGCCCCTCCCTACCCCTCGAGAAATTCCGTAGGTCGGACGGTCGCCTTTGAGGCTGTTTCCCCACTTCTCCCCCGCCTCACAATATCCCCGTCCCACACTCTCTCACACTTTCTTTCTTTCTTTCTTTCTTTCTCCCTCTCTCTCGTCTCTTTCTTTTCTTCTTCTTCTACTTCTTCTTTCCACTTCCCTTCCCTTCCCAGCGCTGCTGCGACGTGACGGTCGCGGTCCGTGGACCCCCGGCGGGCCCCTTCACGAGTCCGACGATAGCCTTTCCAGCGAAATTTTCTCCGAGTGGGGATGGCTGCGCGCGCACGCGCGCGCGCGTTACAGCGCACACGTGCGTGCATGCCTCTTGATCTTACTATAGAAGTAAGTCTCTTTTTATCGATGTAAAAACTGATGTGAGTAAGAGAGATGTAAATGAGTGAGACAAAGTTAGAAAGAGAAGGCCGGGGATTCTTCGTCATAAATTAAAAACTCTTATCGTGAACTATGTTCTTTGTAATTTTCTACTATGATCTTTCCATTTCCTCTCGTCATATCGTCGATGCTTCTTTTTCCTGTTTATTCTTTTGTTGTCTTTTTTTTTTATCTGTTTCTCCCGTTTTTCTTTGATAGGTACACACAAGGTGATGCAATAATGGTTTACAATTTCGTAAAATTATTCATATTTTTCGTAGAAAAATCCTAAGGTCTAATCTAATCTTTTCCGAACGGAAATATGGAAAATATTTGTGATCAGAAGGAAGAGAAGAGAAACAAAAACGGTCTATCGTTGTGTTGCATCGCGATAGAAAAGTTTATCGATGACTAATGGTAGTATAGTATTTGTTAGTCTATTCAATATTTGAAAGGACCAAACGAATACAACAATGGAATATTATTTACTCGATACGATTCAACGTCATACAAATGCAAATTGTAACGGATAAGAAAGAAAACGTATTATCTTTTTGTAGAATAAAAGAAAAAAAAAAAAGAAAAATGATATCGACTATATAGTTAGGTTTTTCGGATATCGGAAAGGAAAACAATAGGGGTGCAACCTTCGTTTTACGTAACTAACTCGTATATTATTCTTGCGAGCTATCGAAAGGTCATTAAAACCGGATGGCTTGATCATTCCTACGTATGCAGACGCACGTGTAGGTTTGTTGTCTGTGCGGATGCGATGAATTAGAGACTTACGTACTCGATCGATCGAAGTGGTAATAGTCATTTCAAAATGACTACGCATACGACGCTCGTACGTCGGCGTTTACCAACCAACGTCATCGGGTCTCTTATATCACGTTCTTCGAAAATAACCGAGTAGAGTGAGTGCCACCGCTTCAACTGACGCAGGCGGGCGAGTGCGCGCGCGCGTGTGCGCGCGTGTGCACTCTGGCACGTGCCTCCGTCTACTTATTTCTCTTCTATCTCTTTCTCTCTCTCTTTCTCTGTGTTTTTTTATCCCACTCTTTCCCGCCAATCGAATTGCTCTTTATCTTTGCGACTGATTAACTCGCGTCATACCGTTTATCTCACGAACGAACGTGTGTGTATATCACACAACCACTTACATATTTCTCTCTCTCTCTCTCTCATACACGTAAGCGTGAATTTACTCCCGACGTTTATACGTTCTCAATTTTGTTCTTGGGATTTTTCAGCGTTGTTTGATTATAATTAACATTAATGACGACAGAATCATCTACTCGAAGAATTAAAAAGAAGAAGAATTAGACGCGTGAAATTTTGTTTGTAGCAGTAATAGGATGTTGTTTAAAAATAATATGCGTCATTTGTTCGATCTATCTATCGTCATTAGATTTCTATATAACGAGAATTATTACATATTATTATTATATTAAAAATTGATATATTATCTCTGACCGTAGCAGAAAAAAATGTTTATCATCGTCATTGCAATTACATTTCAGTCGCGTTGCGTACCACGCGCGCGTAAGTGTGCGTGTGTGCGTGCTTACAAAAGCGTACGTGACATCGAAACGTCTCTAAGAGACCGGATCTCTTAATCGAGAAAATATTTGCTTTCTTTCGCGTCTTCGATATCACGACGTCGGTTACATTTCGAAAACACCAATTCAAACATCAGCGCTATCATTGTACATACGTATAATAAACCATATAAAAGAATCATAATTAATATGCAAGGTGTGTATATGTACCTGTAACAAAAATGATATTATATTTGACGATAGAATAGGCTAAGTAAAGGGAAATAAGAATATACCAAATTTCTATAGATAATTTCAAGCATTACACAGGAATATCGTGAGTATACGTATCGATACACCTACTAAGGAAAAAGGCTTTTACCAAGGGGTTGGGATAGAGAAGGAAACAAAGAGGAGAAAGGTAAAAGGAGGGTAGTTCGTAGAAGTACGTTTGTGGAAGCACTATAGGTGCGACTAGGCTTGTCTGGATGATCCGACGGGAGAAAAAAGAAATTGGAAGATATATAGAAAGGAGCGTGGCAATAAGAGTAGGGATGAGAAAAGGGCTCTACAAGAGTGGGGAGAAAAAAGGGCGCAGGAAGAGTAGGATTAACGTATGGAAGGGATACGGAAGGGTGCCAGGTAGTAAACGCGATAGCGATGGTGGGGGGAGAACGCGCGTCGCGTTTAAAAAGTGGGAAAGAGATGGGAAACGGCGAGAACCAATCGCTACGCCGGGATTCGACGCGGCGTACGACGAACGCGAGTTCATTGGCGTGCACTTACCCCCACCAATCGAAGCTACTCGAGAACGAGCGTGCCGTGCACCACGCCGCATGCGTGGGTGGTGGGGGTGAGTTCGTCATTCCGCTCGAAACGTTCGAGCTGTACGGCCGTGTGGGCGCTACGTCAGAGAAACGAACACAAGTAAACGAATAGTTCTACTTGCTTCCAATGGGAAAAAACAATCTACTTCCTTTCGATCCTTCGTATTTGTTCTTATTTTTGTGCATTTGTTTTATTACATAGTTCAACGATGCATCATATTTCTACATAATTTTTATAGTATTTTTTTTTTTTAAGAAGGAAGAAGGAGTCAATCGTTCTTGTAGGAGTCAATTGTTCTTGTTCAATGTTCGAAATGAGTGTCATTTTTATTGATATTATTTCTTTTTATTTTGTTATAAAATCATAATATATTGTTATGACTATTGGAACTAGCTGTTTAGACGTCATTCGTTTTAAGAATCCTTTAGATTTAATGTGGATATTTATAATAAAATGAATATATAAAGATAAAAATATTTATCTATACACACCCCAATCTTATTACACAAATATGAATTTGATTAGTTAAAATCAGGATGAGGATAGACCGTAGAGATCGTGCTTCCATCTCTCGGAAGATGCTGCAGGTTTTTTCAATGGACCAGGAACCCCAACACGTTTGCGTTATCTTCGGTAATATTCTTTGAAAAAGTGTATGATGTATCATTTATGAATTATCTTGTGCAATATTAAATATAACGTGTTTTTCTACGTGTGTGTTTAGATAAAATAATTCCTCATAGGCTTAGAGTTTCATTTTATCATTTACTCGTATAAAGAACGCACGTAGAAACGTTAAGTATATCTGTTATCTTGATTTCAGTATGTTGAAAATTAAACGATCACCTCTCATTCTTATCTAAAATCCTTTTAGCAGCAGGAAGCACACGACACAGCGTTTACGTGCACATTCTTATGACTCACGAGTTCGTCTAGACGTTCTTCGGATAAGCATCGTGATACTTTGTTCCATAGTATTCTATTCCATCAAGTTAGCAACGCTAATCCCAACCTTTCACCTTTATATACGTACGCTTTTTCTTTCCCCGTTTTCTTTTCCTCTTTGAATTGCAAATCATTTCGTTTAACAGACAACAAAAACTTACACTTTTTACCACACATTTCGATTTCTCGTTAATAGTTCTTTTTTTTTTTTTTGTGTTAACTTGGCGAATTTCAAAAGAAATTCTTAAAAAAAAGATATAAACGTTCATTGGAAAGGAATTTCAGGGTTAAATTATTTCCCACGTATCTCGTATGATTAAATAAACTTTAGATAAAAATTCATTAACCTTGGAAACGGGATAAAAAGAAATCAAGTTTCTTGTTAACGTCAGCACCCAACGAACAAACTGACAAACAGAAAAGTATTAATCGAATAAAGTATAAAACCAGGTGAAAATGAGTATGTTAAAATAAACACACATATAACAGAAAGAAAGAAAGAAAGACAGACAGATACACAGGCACGCACCTGTTGCCAGAAGAAGAGAGAACACATGATACTTCCCGTGACTCATTAGCTTTATGGGGTGCTGGAGTATTACGTAGGTCGCGGTTGGTGGGCATATAAAGGGCGGCACAGGGCGTTGTAGAACCTCGCGAGAACGTGGCTTTAGCTTAGCCCGAGGTCCTCGCGGACATTAATATTCCCTTCCTTGAAATATCAGATTGAGAAGAGAAAGAGAAAGAGAAAGGGAGAGAGAGATAAAGAGTGTTATGTATGTGTGTATGTGTGTGTACGTGTATGCGCTTCTCTCATTCCTCCTTCTCTCTTTCTACCTTTTTATTATAAGGTAGACCGAAAAAATGAAGGATTTCGGTAGGTCTGGTGGAGCAATAATCTGATTTCGCAAGAATACGCAAGCACGCATATTCCTCTTTTATTCTCTTCCGTGATCTGCAGTACAACCCTCCGTTATCATCCACTTGCTCGTCGTCTCGTTCCAAAGAGAAACACCATAATTGCAGACGTAATGCGTTCTCGGTCCAACGAAGACTCTCTACCTCGGGCTACAATGGTAAAGAACGTTGCAGAGAAAGAAAAATAAGAATAATAAGAATAATAAGAAGAAGCCAGCTGCGACAATATCTTATATGATACGTAAATATATATGTGTATAATATATATATATATATGATTGTATGTATATATCTAAATAATTAATCTTCCCCATTCGATAATACTTATCAACTTTTCTACTATCGAAGTTACGACAAATTTAATTGATCAATTATACTTTATCAAGAAATTTAAACCGACGTATCACCATACGTGAAATGTCAAAAGAATTTTCAATTGGATA